TTTGAATACCATTATTTGTTTCACCATCAGGGGCTGCAGTGCACCTGGCTTCACTCCTCGCAGCATATGGTTACATCTTCTCTATCACTGATCACCACTTGATGGTGAAAGATGATGCTTCTTACTATAGGTTTCAGGTGAGAATAAGCACATTTGTCACATTCAGGGGCTTTTTTATAAAATCATTTTTATAACTTAAATTTTTTTTTTATTTTTGGAGACACTGTGGGCAGATTAGTAATTATATACTTTTTAGGAAATTTGGATTTATCAATTGAGTTGACTATGTAAACTGACCACCGTAAAAGTAGTTTTTAAACCTAATGTTTTGAGTGTTAGCCTTTGATCATTTTCTTTGACCAAGTGCTTGTATTGTCAGCTTTAGAAACTCTCTGCCGTGGCCAGTTTATATTGTCAACTCAGTTGACAAAACCAAATTATAAAAAGAAAATGGGATTCCATATAGGCCTGAATTTTTTTTCAGGCCTTATTTTCACTACTGCCTATTTAAGTAGTGCTCATTACTGCAAAGATCACTTTCATATTCATTTCTTAACCCTTTAACTCTCAGATCAAATTTGTAATTCTCCTTACTGTCAACCATACAATTCTTTAATGTTAGTTCAGAGAATTTAGTATTGGATCAACTAATTATCCCAAATTGATATTTTTCTTTAGTCTCATCACTTATCTGGTTGATGTTGTGTAGATATTGTAAGGAGAAATTCTGTCTTGGTCACTCGTGGGATTTAAAAGGGTTAAACTGCAGTTTTCATATATGGTTTTCTTATATTCAAAGCCATTAAAGCCAAATTATCTTGTGATTTCCCTCACTGACGCAGCACCATAGTTTCTTTAGAAACTTACCCCCTTCAATTATATACTGGATACACTGTCAAAATTTAAATTCTAAGGAAAGATGTTATCTCTCTTGTCTCAAGCATGGGACCAAGAAAACAGTCTGTGTGCCCCATGTGGAATTAAATGCTGGACTATTTGATTGCTTGCTTAAATGCTTTACCACTGAAATTCATTCCGGTTCTGATGCTATTCATATGGTCTATAGCTTCACATCCCCTATTCATAGCAGAGCTCACAGAGCGTAGCCCCATAATTATACAAAATAGTAGTAACCCATCAAGCCGAAAAAATTTGGATGTACAACCGTACGACCGACCATACAAGGTACTACTTTTAGCATACTTGGCCAACTGTGCCACAGGCACTATCTTATAATCAGTCCTCTACACGGACATGGAGAAGTTGCGAATGAAAATCCATTAATATTACCACGCACTTTATCCATAAAAGGGGCTTTAGTTTTGTTGAAGAGACATGCAGGAAAAAAAAATGCAAGCTCTGCTTTTAGGCTTACCTAAATCTATATATTAAACATCTATATGTGGTGCTAGTTGGGGTATATGAATTGTGCTTCAGTTTGCAAAATTTTTATTTATTTTTATTTTTTTAGACACCATTCTTTTGGTTATCAAATAACTGGGAACCTGAGAATGTGGATTATGGTAAGTTTATTATACATATATTTTTAACCCTTTTACTCCCAAGATCTCATTTGGTAATTCTCCTTACTGTCTGTCATATGGTTCTGGTGATGTTAGTTTGGAGAATTTGGTATCAGATCAACTAATAATCCCCTTAATAATATTTTCGTTATTCTCATCAATTATCTGCTTGATATTGTATTGATATTGTAAGGAGAAATTCTGTCTTGGTCAATCATGGGAGTCAAAGGGTTAAGAAGCTATAAACAATTCTTACTGCAGGCAATGAACACAGTTTAACCTTTTTTCCCCTAAGAGTGACTGGCCTCTTATTTCTCCCCACTTTTCCATCCTATAAAAAATTCTAAAGGTCATGATGAAGGTCACAAGAATAGAGGAAGTGATTGTTAAACAAATTCTCCTTCCCAGTATCATAGCAATAACAGTGGGGAGAATATCAATTTTAACATTAAGTCCTTGGAAGGTGTGTTTCTACTTTAATCCATGTTCATCATCTCTGGCCCTTCACCCTGTATGCATCGTCTCAAATAATTCATCATTGGTCTCTGGATCTCCATTCCACGACCCCTTTCCCAATCTCAATCCCAATCCCCACCCCCTCCTTCCTTCCCTTGACTGTTTGCTCCTTTCCCCTGAGAGGGGGGGAGAGAGGTGTAGGACTGGCGCTGAGTATTGTAGTAGCGGTTACAAAGCTAGGCGCTGTATCCAAGTGTGATTTCTTTATATTGTTCTGCAAATTAGTTGTTCGAGGCGGTTTTGTCAGTGGTGAAGTGCCTCTTTACAGAGGCACCATGAAAGTGATTCCCTTAAAGCCCCACGCCATCAGCATCATATCTCTCCTCCCATTATCAGGGGCAAAGTCACAAGAATCAAGAAACTGATTCTCAAGGAGAAATTGTCCAGATCTTCGACAAATTCTCACAATAGTGAAAAGAAAATGTATGGAAAGCAGTGAGGACAATTTAGGAGTCACGTATGAGGCATGAAGGATTATTATTCAAGGAAGTGAAATGGGTTTAAGTTGGATGATATTGGCCTTGCCTCTCTGTATCCATACCTCTCATCGATTTATTTTTTTTTTCTTTTCACAGCTGTGTATTTGTGTAAAAGAACGATGCAAAATAAGTCCAGACTGGAATTAGATGATTATGAAGCAGTAAGTGCGCAAAATCTTGTTTCGTTACCTTACCTTCGAAGAAAAAAGTTTTTTTCATTTTTAGCTCGTACATATGTATGTTACTAACCTACTTTTGACAGACTTCCTTCCCCTGTTTTAATAAATTTTTGGTAACGCTCGTATTAATTGAGTTAAATAACACTGAATAGATAAACTAACAAAAAAATTGTTTATAGGAAAACCTTGCGAAGCTACAAAGAACGTTGTCGCGGAAATGGGAATTTATATTTATGCAAGCGGAGGCACAAGCAAAGTGAGTGGTTTTTTTTTTAAACTACTTCAGTAATTTATGCAAACTATTACACAAGCCACATATAAAGTGAATGCTGATTGGCTAAAATTGCCATTGAGCATTTTCAAATGAGTGTCAAGAAGTAATCTAGGATTGATTTGGTTTTGCTTTGTACACTCTATGATTGGTCCAGAAGCTCACGCCACTTTAACAACCAATTAGATTAAAAACTGAACTTAATCACATCTTTGTTACCTGCGTTTTCCTGCGCTTTAGGCAGTTCACTTGTTTATACTTTGAATTCTGATTGGCTCCTTGTGAGAAGTCCCTTGATTTTGATTGGTTTACACGTACCGGTGTGTTTTACGACCATCAATCGAAATGCGCACTATTAAGAGAGTAATTGTTGTGTTAACACCAGTTTTTTTTTATTTATTTATTTTTCAGGGTTGATAAGAAGAGGGACAAAATGGAAAGACAAATATTGGATAGCCAGGAGAGAGCATTTTGGAATGTTCATAGACCGCCGGTAAGAATAAAAGATTGTAACCATAGTCAGTGATTAAAAATTTATCCATGTGCAGCTTCATTAGAAATGAGTTTGAAGGACCATAGGAGGGTGGAAAAGGGTTTATTCGTGACACGTAAGTGACGCGGGAATTTTAATGAAAGGTGAGCGTCATTCAAGAATTTATTAATCAGCGTGAGGCGTGATTTGGCTCCTGAAATATAAGTGACTCTTGAATTTTTTTTCACAGTCCTTGAAAACCTCAAGATTTCCCAGAAACCTTGTTTGCAAGGAGTGAAATTTAAAGTTATTCCTTTTATAGGCCTGACGCGTTAATTTTTTTTAAGTCTGTGCGTCTGAACCCACTTACAGCAGTTTACTGCGAACAAAGTTTTAAACATCATTCTTAAACAAAACCTCCAAGTAAAAACAAGGAAATTAGTAACCAAGTCGTTACAGGTCTTATATTGGCTTCTGATTGGCTTTGAAGGAGGTACAAGTTTTCTACATCGATCAATTTAGGTGTTTTGATTTATTTAAGACCTTTTGCTTGGATAACATGCTAAAATAGGCTATTGAAATTTTATTTTTAGCCAGGTTGTGTGTCGGTAACAGAAATAGATATAAAAAAGGCTTGTAAAGCGGTGGACTCATCACCGACCGCAAAAAGGAAGGTAAGTCATCCGACTGTATACTGTAAACTTTCAAATCAGCTTCTCCCTCCTCCTCATGCAGTCCCATCTTTACAAGGGTCCTCCATTAGTACTTCAGCTCTAACCAGAAGCCTGTCTTTGTTTAGTTTCTTCCTTCTCTTGTTTTTTTCTCTTTTTCTTTTTTTTTCTTTTTATCTTTCATTTGTTTGTTCTTTCTCATTTTCTGTAGTTCGTCGTTCATGCTCTTTTGCGTTCGTTCGTTCATTCTTTCGTTTGTTTGTTCGTTCTTTCGTTCTTTTGTCCGTTCGTTGTTCGTTCGTTTCTGTCTTCGTTTTTTCGTTGTTCGTTTGTTCGTTCTTTCGTTCGTTTGTTCGTTTGTTTGTTCGTTCGTTCCTCAGTCCGTTCGTTCGTTCTTTCGTTCGTTCCTTTGTTCATTCGTTCGTTTCTGTCTTCGTTTTTTCGTTGTTCGTTTGTTCATTTGTGTTTTTTTCTTCCTTTTTTCTTTCTTTCTTTTTTACTTTCCTTTTGTCGTTATTGTTGTTGTTGTGGCCTCGGATTGAATTCCAAATCTGGCGCCTGTCTGGTCTGAGTTTTTTTAACAAGATAAACAGGGTATTTGAGTGTGAAAATAATTTTTGAAAATAATTGCACCAATTGACGTCACAACAAGATTGTTCTTGACTTTTCAACACAGGTGAACTTTCTACAAGAGGATTCGTCAATGTCATTGTCGTCCTTGTCTGCGCTGGACGGTGTCAAACAAGAGGTACAGTTCAATAATATCTCATTGAACATGATTTATTGTATCAGAATTGTGTGCTGACACTTCTGGCGTCTGATCAATGCTTTCTTTTGGGGTGAAAGCCACTTGTGTCAATATGCCCCCTATATCTTAGCGAACATTTGCGAAAAAAAATGGAAGGAAAAAAGAAGAAGAATAAGAAGTAAAAGAAGAGAAAAAAAAAGAATGTGTCCAAATTTGAAACCACCACCTGACAGCTTTTGGCTTGCGTGTTGACGCAGTTAGCGATCGATTTAGTCGCAGCGGAGCGAAAAACGAGGGAAGTTTGGGTAGAGTCGCAAACCGACCCAAGCTTTCCTCATTTTTTCACTCCTCCGATACCATCGTGCTCGGTTTTACTAACTGAAGGCCTGGAACAGGCTACCATTTGAATATCAGTTTGGGATTTTAGTGACCTTGGCCCCCCCC